GTTATTCTGGCTAACTCCAGAGCCACCTGGGAGGCTGACTGGAACTGGAAGAACATAACATAAATAGATTATTGTTTATTAAAGAATTATTTATTTATTTATTTCCACTTGTTGTTGTTATTATTTATTTATTTTTAAAAATTGACCCTGGAGAGAAAGAAAGGGAAAGCAAGAAAGTAAGCTGCTAGGTCTGGGACTCAAACCGTGGTTGGCCATGTGGGAATCAAACGTCTTTAACCATTACCCCACTTTCTGGCCCCAAATATATTATTAAGAGGTGCAGGGGTGGATAGTGGAAGCAAGACTTAAACCAAAGTGGTAATAAATATTAAGATTAAAAAAAAAAAGAAAGAAAGAAAAAAAAAAAGCTGGATTGACTTACCACCGTGTAGATCTGATGCTTTCGTCTCTTAGCGAGGTCAATTATGTTTACTCCATTGTAGTAAAGGTTTTCAATACATCCATGGAAGTTTTTCTTTAAAAAGGTCCCAGGTTTGCCTGGTACTGGAATTCCTCCAAAACTAAGCTTTATGGGGAGAAAAATGAAAATCAGCTCTTAGTTATAAGCTGTGAAGGAATAAGAAAAGAAAGTAAACAGTACATTTTAGTAGATTCAATTGTATGCATGAGCCAAGTGGCTCAAATAATTATAGATGCCACTTGATTATGCATTTAAAAGGATACTGATTAGGCCATGTAAAAATAACTGTAATTGCTTGCTTCTTAAGGGCTTATTTTACAAAACCATTTTTACTTCCTTTCTGAACCTTTTTAATACTAAATAAAACAATAATTTGCAGAAGAAGGAAAAAAAGAAAAGAAAATCAACGTCTTTATATTTATCTCTTACACAAGCATTTTAGAAAATGCGGCCATCCTAAAGCTAGAGATAAACAAAACATACCTCTATTCAGCTACTGAGAAACCTAGTTTAAAAGCCTACATTATACTCGAAGAGCTTTAAGCACAGGATTGTTTCCAAATTGTTATCTATATAGATTAAAAGTAGAAAATAATCCATGTGGTCCTTATAGTTTTTGTAGGACAAATAATCAAGAATCAGTATGGTGGAATCTTATGTTGACTTGTCAGCAATGATGCTTACTAAATATCTGTGATAAAATGGGAAGTGAGTGTAATTAATATTGATTGAAAAATGCAAGATTTAGGGACCAGCAGTTAGTGTAATGGCTATGTCACTGAACTCCCATGTAGTTGACCGTGGTTCAAGTCCTGGACTCAGTGGCTTAAACTCATGCCGGGCATGTGTGCGTGTGTGCCCAAGATCCTGAGAGGAGAATGGAGGAGACAAGATTGAGGCGAGGCCACCCCCTGAGGGGTGATTTCTCACTTTCTGTTTCTCTATCTCTCTCTGTCATTCTGGTGAGTGCACACGCCTTGTAGCAAAAACCTCTCCAAAAAAAAAAAAAAAAGTGAGATTTATAATTGGGTATGAAATATGTGTCAGCAATAAAAAGTTGTACATACAGTGTAGATTGTTAATGTTCATTTTCTTTGAAAAGCTGTAGTATACTAGTTTTCTAACATGCTTCTTTCCAATAAATATCAACAAAAATTAGGGTTTTTTTAGAGAGAGATTTTAGCTATAGGGTGTGTGCACTCTCTGGAGAGACAGAGAGACAGACAAAAGTTAGAAATAACCTCCACAGGGGGGATGGCCATGCCACAATCCCTTCATTTTCCTCTCAGGATTTTGGGCTTGTATGCACACGCTCCTGGCTTGAGTTTTAAGCCACCGGATCCAGGACTCAAACCTCAGTTGGTTATGTGGGAATCAAGAGACGTAACCATTACACCAACACAAATTAATTTTTAATGGATATATTATTTAGAAAACAATCCTGACCTGTTATGAGTACTTTTCCTATTGTAAAAAGAGCCAAATAGTTTCTATAATCACATTTATCCCAGTCCCATTTAATAAATAAAGCAGTTTTTCTCCAATGTTTGGAAATGTTACCTTCAACATGCACTAAAACTATATTGGGACCAGCAGTTGGCGTAATGGCTACATCACTGGACTCCCATGTGTTGAACTGCGGTTCGAGTCCTGGACCCAGTGGCTTAAAGTCACGCCGGGCATGTGTGCGTGCATGCCCAAGATCCCCAGAGGAGAATGGAGAAGAAGAGATTGTGGCATGGCCATCCCTCCTGGGGGGTGATTTCTCGCTTTCTGTCTCTCTGTCTCTCTCTGGCAAGCCCACGCACCCTATAGCAAAAATCTCTCAAAAAAGGAAAAAAAAAAATATTGATGATGATGGGACCAGCAGATGGTGTAATGGTTATACCACTGGACTCCCACATAGTTGATCAGATTTTGAGTCCTGGATCCATTGACTCAAAAATCACGCCAGGCATGTGTGTGTGTGTGTGCACATGCCTAAGAATCCTAGAGGATAAATAAAAAACAACAAAAAAAAACCCTATCTTGACATTTGCTACATCTCTGTCTCTTTGCTTGCTCCTCTCTCTCTCTCTCACATCTAGAAGATGTGTTTTTTCAATGAGAAGACATTGGGGCTATTTTTAAATGTTTATTTTCTTTTGCAAATTTCATACTATTTTTAAAAAATTATTTCTTAATGCATTGTAGTAGGTGATGAGAATTATTAATCCTGTTTCTCACTCTTACTTACCTCTGCTTTACATTTTTAAAGAAAGTATTTGATATTTTAATTTATTTTAAGATTTAAATTATTAAATTTGATAAATAAAATTTTCTTTTATTTAAAATATATTGTTGAAATTTTTATGAAGAATTCTTTATTTCCATTGAAATTTTTATGGAGAATTCTTTATTTCCATTAAAACATTCTCTTGGAGGGAATTATTTTTTGAAATATTTTTTCTTTCTCTCAAATAATCTAGTGTCTATTTCTATTTTTAAAATAGAAATATTTTAAAATATTTTTGATAAGGTCTTCAACGAAAATTATTTTCTTTGCCTAGTTCATATATTAACTTTATGCTTTACAAAAATTCCACATGTAGACATTGCTTTCATTTATTAAATGTTTTATCACATTTACTGACATAATGGTGATGATTTATTTTCTGTACTCAGAAACTTGCATGAACTTATATATTAAATCATACACTTTTAGCCAATTTTTTTGAATTTGTGAAGTGTAGAATCATACTACAAATCGAAAAAATAAATTTTAAAATAGATAAAAATATATATATTTTAAAATAATAATGAAGTGACATAAATCTCATTCACTTTCTTTCTTTTGCCAGAGGGTACATACACTCACCACAGAGAAACAGAGAGAAAGAAAAGCATGCTTTCATTAGGTCTGGTCATACTACAATCCCTTTGCTTTCATCTCTCCAGTCTATTAAGATTTGGGGTAGGCACCCACATATGCCTGATATGTTTTTAAGCCAGTAGGATTGCAATTCAATCTGTAGTTGATCATGTGGGGTATGCCTTCTGATGCACTGTACTTAACCAGTGAGTTTCAGAGGAGCTGCTTCATTTTTTTTCAAATCCATATTTTGCTTAACCACTGAACTTCAGAGTAGCTGCTTCATTTTTTTTCAAATCCATATTTAACACATTAAAAAAATTTGTAATTAAAAATTTCTAAAGTCTAATCAAACCACTTTAAACAATGGTATAGAACTTTATTGAAAAACAACCACCACAAAGCAAGTACACATAACCCTGTGTCTTAAAAAGATACTCTTCTATTTTATTTTACTATTTATGTTTTATTCATTTGTTTATTTATTTGATATAGGCATTAACATTTAGTTTTATCTCTTGGTTTTTCAAAAATCTATGTGACAGAATATGGGACATTATAATGTTTAATCTACTAATGAGTTGGATTATGTTACTAGACTATATGTTAATAGATCCTCTATTATTGAATGACTCTCATGCTCCACTTTCTTTGAAAAATATGCGCTCCTATTTTAAGTCTAACTAAGTTCGAGCTCTTGTTTTCTTTTTCCAAGTGTATATCAATGAGACTTTTCTCTGAGAAAAACTAATCAAGTTTTATCTTTTATTATAAGAATCATTCAGCATTTTGGCAAATATTCTAGGAAACCCAGAAAAGAATTACAAATAAACTTGTTAATTCCACAAATGTTTCGTAAAAATATTTCTTTGGTAACTTATAAAATCTTCTTTGTTGATCTATTGAAAAGTCTTTAATTTAAGTCATTTACATTTAAAAATTATCTGTTTTGATATGTAAATTTTCTGCATAAATAAAATTTGTAATGTAAAAATGTAAGCATAATAGAATATTTTTACATTTATTTATTTATTTTCATTATTTTAAATATTTGATGATAATTTTATGCCTTTCATTTTTATGGTTGCCACTTTTCTCAATTTCTTAAAAAATTTTTAATGTTCTACTTCACTTAGTTATGATTTAGAGAAGGATTGGTTGTGGGACAATATTTGCAAAAAAGAGAGAAAGAAAGAGAGAAAGAAAGAAAGAAAGAAAGAAAGAAAGAAAGAAAGAAAACAATGTCTTTTAAGTAGCAAAAAATAGTGCTTAAAAGATTCAGAATAGAGCTTTTTGCAGAAGCTAAATAGTATGGAGGACACTATATACAACAAAATTGTAAATTTGCTGTTTTATTTAAAGAATCATTTCACATTCTGGTCTGGGGAGAGGATTCTTCAAGACATTTGGTGGGGCAAGAGTGCGGTTAACTGATAACTCTGAGTCCTGCTCTCTGGCTCTCTCTGGGAGATCAAAACTAGATGAGTTTGGATGGATGTGGATAGAAGTCACAGTCTAAATTGTGAAAAACATCATAACAAAACAGAAAAGTATTTCTGCCCTGATTCCTGTGGCAGTGATGGCTGCAAGTCTGTTAGACATGCCTCAAATTCTGCATGACACCAGAGCAAAACAGCTGGAGGGCAGACAGATGAGCAATGTCTGAGGAAAGTGACAATTTAGACAGGCACAGTGGCTATTTGACAAGGACCTGGACTCTTCTCTAGTGTCAAGCAGACTGCTGAGGATCCCTAGACCTATAAAAGCAGAATGGAGTATGGATGGGCTGAGGCTCTCAGTAAAGATGTGAAGGGCTGGAGCTGGAGCTGCAGCTGGAGATCTGGAAGAGTCCAGGTGACTACATTTCACAGCTGTAGGTTATGCCAGGTGACTCAGATAGTAGCTGAAACTGACACTTGGTTCTCATGCCCTCACACCAGGTGGGATGAGTGGGTAACATGCCTCTTCTGATGCAAGACAATACATAACTCATCCAGGTAGTGATCTGCCCATAGAAAAGGGAAGAAGGAGGAGGGAGAAGCCTCAATATAACACAATATTTGCACAGTAGCACCCTAGTTTATTTTAATTTAATTTTTGAATTGACTCTCCAGAAAGAGAGAAACAAACAGATAAAAAGAAATGGAGAAAAATTAAGCACTCTCCAGCAGGGCGTGATCATGCCACAATCTCTTTTCCCCTATTTGCCCTTCCCTATTGGGCTTTTAGACACGCATGCACCTGCACCCAAAAG